GTGAAATGACCCTTTAAGAAGAGGTTGTGTGAATTGCATAAAAGTGAAGTTGGGTGCACTGAATATTTCAATATCACACTTTTTAAAACAAATATATGGTGAATTTACAGAATCATTCAGAGACAAAGAGGCAAAGTGGAAATAAATCTACTGTAAAATGAACATGGAAAGAGTTGGGTTTTAAAAGGTACACTGCTAGTGCATGCTTTTGTTTCTGTAGTTCCTCACATTAGCATGGGTGATCCTGTTCACGCAGTATTTGTATGTTGCGCCCTGCACCGAGTCATGTGTTTGACCTCGGAGGCCCTGGTGTTGTGTTGAATAGTGACGGGAGAAGGTTGAAGAAACACACACGCAGCTCTCACCTTCACTCGTCTGTACTGAATTACTTTTTAAACAATGTATACAAAAACATATATCTATTCAATATTCATGCACGCAGGACCACAGTCACCATGAGTATCTTCTTAATGCATTCTAAATTGTATTTTTAACTAAATTACCAAATGAAATGTAAATAGTTTTAACCAAAGTTATCACATGATATGTTAATACTCCTTTTTAACTGAGTTCCCATATAACACTAAAATGAGATGTACTTTTAACATATCCACTTATTCATTGTCTCAGCCATGACATGGACTGCGCCCTTATAGTGATAAATATGCACATAAACCTTACAGCAAAAATATGTAGACGTAACAGTAACTAGCTTAAATACCAACCACAAAGTAAACACTCATGTATGGCGGGACTCGGACATGACGGAGCCATGAGGTCTCCGGCTGCTAGCATACACATCGTCTCAGTTAACAAGAAACTCTTTGAACAACAAACACGTGCAAGAACGTCTCAATCACTCAGATAAAACCACAGTAACACTGTAATGTGGTATCAACATGTGTTCATAAGTTTACAGTGCTTTGTGAGTGGTAATTACCTTAAAAGGGGAATAGTAACGGGAGAAGTTTGAAGAAACACACATGCAGCTCTCGCCTTCAGTTGTCTCTATTGAATGAGGAAGAGAAGCGCGATCCCATTACTGGAGCCCCGAGGCATTACCAACACATCGACGAACAATTAACCCACAGAGACGATCAGTATCCTCTACCTGCATACCACTTCTTAATATTACTCGCTGTATAGTTTTAAACAGTGACAAAACTTAATACTCATTCTAATATAAACATTAATATAACAAACTATTCCTGCGATGGACTGGCGACCTGTCCAGGGCGAACACTGCCTTTCGCCCGATGTCTGCTGGGATTGGCTCCAACCCCCCACGACCCTGTACGCAGGATAAGTGGTTGACAATGGATGGATGGATGGATAACAAACTATTGTAAATGAAATGTCCTGAAAATGGAATATTGTAGTACTGTAATAAACTTCAAAATGAAATTAACTTTTCAAATTAATTCTTTGATATCCATATGAATTGTAAATCATTCTGTCACATCCTTTCACACTGGCCCACCTAATACCAAGTTTTAGTTGTCTTTAAATATCCTACAAAATAGGCACTATGCTTTAAGCATTTTTTGCCCTCAATAATACCACTTTGTTTTATACTTTAGCTGTCTAACGTCTAGCTCCTAACGTCCTGCTAAATGCATCACATCAGGGAAGTAAGGATATAATTTCATGAAACCTCCTCTAACTTTAATGGAAAGTGAGTGTATCAATGCTCATTTACTTGCAAGTGGCTCATTTTAAATCATTGTCTGATGACTCTGTTGAAAGATTTAGATTAAGCAAGTGTCAACACTGGTAATACAGTAGAGCTGCCGAGTGGGAGGACTTCCAGTAGCAACAGTGGCATCAATGGCAGCCCCGCTTTATACACAAATACTGAAGCCATTTGATTCCAGGCAAAACCAGAGAAGGTCATCTGTTAAACTCCTGCTGGACTACCAATAATGGGGTGTGGGTGTGGGTGTGTTAAGCTGTGTAAATCTCAGAACAGGCTGGTGGATCTGTGTGATCTAACCAGTAAGAGGCTTAATGTCTGCACTGGAACTGACTGGGACTAGGGATAGGGACTCACACTAGAACGCACCGATCTGTCTGCATCTGCAGTGCACTTGTCGGGACCCTCGTTAACGTAATGCATTTACTGTAAGCCTAACCTTAACTCTTAAACTAAGTGTCAACCCTCAAACTGCCCTTTGAGTACTGAAGTTGGTTATAATGCCCTCACTCTCAAGGTCTGAAACTCAAAGACTCTCAAACAGGGATGCACCGAATCGTCCACCGAAATTAATCATCCAGAAATAGCACAAAAAAAAGCACTTTTGGTGTTCAGTCAAAAGACCGAATAAATTTTATCAAAAAGTTACATTAACATGTTGGCCCTGTGGAAGCAGTTTAAAGTGTCCAAGAAAGACGCAAAAATCCTCGTTTGAAGACACTGTTCTGCTGAATTGTCTCTTATCACATCCACTCCATCTGTGGCTGACTTCTGATTTGAGTGTTTCTGTCACTTGTTTCTAGGAAGGCGGTTTTCAATATAAGGAGTCTATACAGTATGGAAATAAGATTAATTGGATTATATTCACAGAAAGTATAAAACATATTACGTGTGTACATTAAAAGTAAACGGACCCTTTACCGGACCCTCAGGGCCTTGGACCCACCTACCATAGTCTCTCCAAATCCTCTGGGAAACACTGAGTAAAAATCACATTTTGACTATTTAATTTATGCAATTGTAAAAAAAAAAAAAAAAAAACGGCAAAATGAATGGAAAAAGTTTGAATGTACTTGTACTGCGTTCGGCATTCAGTGCATCCCTACACTTAAAGATACACAAATGGTTCAGGAACGGAATGATAACCAGAAAACAAAAGAGGCAGACTAAAGCAGAGGGGGATGAAAAAAAGACAGATGGAGAACAAGACGGAGAGAAGAGAGAGAAAAAGGCAAAGACAGAAGGTTGTACACAATGGCTACAGCAAGGATTGATTAATATGGGCTATTAAGCTATAACACCAGATCATAGTCTGGTCCCTCTGGCCATATTACAGTGACATGATGAAGCGCCTGTATTAGCCATGGGAGAGTGCTAGTGATGCAGATAATAGCCACGTCCCATGAGACATGCAGAGGGAATTAATGCTGCTGTCTGATACACACAGAGGCATGGATGCAGACGGTCTCTCTCTCACACGCACACACTCACACACACACACACACACACACACACACACACACACACAAGCCTGAACACTGTCATTTACATATATGCACAGGAACAGTCAGGAATAGATACACTCATACGCACACTTATAGAGGTATGGCTATACAGTACGCATAGATGAACACACGTTTAAGTGCACTGTAATTATTTTTTTCCCTGACTACAACTCCACCCTTCATCCAGGGTAAATGCATATATACGCTATAACACTATCTCTTTCTTTTCTGTCTATTACAATAGAAGGAAATGAGGTGGAAGGTATGAGGATTATTCTGCTATCTACACCTAGCCACATACACACACACAATCACACACCCCTTGTATAATTTCCTTGCCACTGTTAAGCCTTTGCTGCAACTCATTCTTACAACATTTCCATGGTTCTCAATTCTCTGTACATCTGGGTATGATTTGAAGTTTCCCAGTGCTAGATATGATTACCTAACATTCCAAAATACTATAAGCATGTTTAACAAAAGACCTTTTAACAAACTTAGCCAAAAGTTCTCGGATGTTAAAAGTTGTCTAAGGAGCTATACAAGAACTTTGTCTAAATAAATAACTGAAATTGCAAAAATTATGATTTTAAATCTGAAATTGTCTGTTACAATTTTGAAGTACTCATACTTTACTAGACTGTCTCCATTTTATACTACATACATTTACTAATTACTTTTCAGATTGGGATTTTGCATAAACAAAACACATGACAAGCTACAGACACAAAGCAGATGTCTCTAAGGGGATGACAGTTCCATCAAATGACATTTCAACTCTAAATTTCTTAAATATTTTCATTTCAACAAATGTTCAAGGCTCAAAGGGGTAAAATAATCCAGTATTTTACACAGTCGCAAAAAAGGTCCAAAATATGAATATAAATGTGTTTTTCAGAATTTTTCTTCTTTTTTACCCCAGTTTGGGATTCACCATGACCACATTTCTGATATGATAATATACCAGTCACAAAGGATGATTTACTATAGAGCAAGTACTTTTACTTTGATACTTTAAGTTCATTTTGCTACTTTTGTGCTTTTATTAATTGGTACTTTTACTTAAAGGTCCACTGTGTAATATTTAGGAGGATCTACTGACTGATAAAATATCCATAACTATGTTTTCAGTGGTGTATAAAGACCTTACATAATGAACCTTTATGTTTTTAATACCTTAGAATGAGCGGTTTATTTCTACATAACTGCGGGTCCCCCTTAAGCTTGGTTCCCCTCTTCATTTCTTGACTGGCTACTCTCTGCTGTCTCAGATGATGACATCTTTTGTCCTGTGTCAGCCACTGTAGCTATCCTACGCTCGTTGAGGTGGGTGGGGAGCGGTAGACTAGACATTAGTAGCATTTTTTTTGTCATTTGTTCAAATCCCGACAGCAATCAATAAGTCAAATGCTCTGTCACAAAAATGAATAACTCCGCTCTCTGTCGCAGGACTGTAATAAGCACAGCCAATCACTTACTTTGGTTCAAATGAAATTATTGGCTGGCCTACCCGCTTGTCCACATGCCTACCTGCGCACAGTCAGCACCCATTGTGCATGAAAATGTGTTTAGATTTTTGGAGGGAGGCCAGAAGGGAGTGGTGGGATTTTTTTCAGTTGGATTATGTCACTTCAAGTAACTGAATATGTCTTCCACCTCGGTCAGTCAGTGGCAAAAAAACCCATGATGTTCGATACCCAGCTGTACTTCCCAGTTACCAAAGGGAAGTGATCCTGTTAGTTTTATCTTTCCCTATTGTGACAATTTTTTGATACATATTGATATGATATTTTTTGTCTCAGTGGGAGGAGATCGGCGAAGTAGACGAGGACTACGCTCCCATCCACACCTACCAAGTGTGCCGGGTCATGGAGCAGAACCAGAACAACTGGCTCCACACCAACTGGATCCTGACCGAGGGTGCCCAGCGGGTCTTCATCGAGCTCAAATTCACCCTGAGAGACTGCAACAGCCTGCCTGGGGGGGTTGGGACCTGCAAGGAGACGTTTAACATGTATTACTATGAAACGAATGGGGACGAGGAGGAAATGGAGGATGGAGAGATGAGAGATGGAACGGGGATGACAGAAGAGGAAGACAGGGTTATGAAGGAGAGCAGATATATCAAAATTGACACCATAGCAGCTGACGAGAGCTTTACCGAGCTAGACCTAGGGGACCGCGTGATGAAGCTCAACACGGAAGTCCGCGATTTAGGTCCCTTGAGCCGGAAGGGCTTCTACCTGGCATTTCAGGATTTGGGGGCCTGTATAGCTTTAGTGTCAGTGCGTGTGTTCTACAAACGCTGCCCGTTTCTGGTGAAGAGTTTAGCCGAGTTCCCCGACACCATCCCAGGCTCAGAGGCCTCGCAGCTGGTGGAGGTAGTGGGCCGCTGCGTCAATAACTCCCTGCCTTTATACGAGCCTCCCAGGATGCATTGCAGCACCGAGGGTGAATGGCTGGTGCCCATCGGGAAGTGTGTGTGCCAGCCAGGATTTGAGGAAATCAACGGATCCTGTCAAGGTGAGAGGGGAAAGTGTGTGTGTATGGAGTAGTGCTAAAACAATGAATTTAAAATTTGTCTGCGTAATTTTGATAATCATTTGGCCAAAAGTGCCAAACAACAAATTGAATATGAGAATTTGCTGCTTTTACTTTTTTAAATCATTGTCACGTTCATGTTCAAAAATGTTCATGTTCACATTTTTGGTCTTTTTAGGTTTGTGAGTGCACATGCATGTGTGTTTCCTATGGGTTGCTATCTTCAGCCTGTTTGTTTATTTTTATATCCATGCACATAGTTTTTGTTTTTAGTATTGTGTGCTTTAGTGTGTGCATGGATCTGTTTATTCTTTTATTAAGAGTGTTTTTTACTGTGCGTGTGTGTGTGTTTCCCCCTAGCTTAGTAGAGGGTATTCCCCAGAGCCCCACAGCACTTTGCTGCTCTCATACAGCCACTGTTCTGCTCTGACACGGGCCCAAACATTCCCATCGTCGACCTTAACTGCCATTTCCATGGGCACCAAGGGCCTCTGTGTTTTTTTTCTCCTTCACTCCACTCCAATCTTCTTCTGTGCTGTCTTTAAATTACTAAATTTTCAGACGTGCACACTAGACTCTCAGTGGCACAACGAAATTTCAGACAAATTCCAGAGAACAGTTATTATGGCAGCTTAAAGCTTTGTGGCACAGAAAGTTGAAATGTGTTATTATTTGGTAGCTCATGAGTGTTTTGTCTCTTCCCACAATGCCCTGCTGAACAAGTGTCGGTCTCAAGCAATGAACTAAAACTCTACAAATTCTTGAACAGTACATGCAGAGATTTAGTTTACATGTACATACTGTACAAATACAGTATATGAGTGAGTCTGGATGTGCTGTGTAATAAATATAAACACAGCTTGTATGCTTACATGCAATGGACACTGGCTTAAATATAAGAGGAGGGTGGTTGGTTGTGTGCAAGGCAGTAGTGGTTTTAGGGGAGCACTTCATGTATCTGATTTTCAATTGAATTCATCACACAATGCCTCCAGAAGATCCAATAGTAAATCCTGCAGCCTGTTGCAGCAGCAGTGTCTACGTTCAAACTAGTAATAATGTAAATTATTATGGTATAACTAGCTTATATAAAACTAAATAAAAGCCGAACCACCACGGAGATGAGTTGCAACATTATTCTAATAACAACTAAATAGTTACACATGGGGCGGCGCGGTGGTACAGTGGTTAGCACTGTCACCTCACAGCAAGAAGGTTGTAGGTTCAAACCCAGGGTACCTGCCTTTCGCCTGATGTAAGCTGGGATTGACCCCGTAACCCTGTACGAAGGATAAGCGGTTGACGATGGATGGATAGTTACACATGGTGTAAATCCTAAAATGTCACAGAATTATACTCACTAATGGTAAAACTGCAGTTTTTCTGCCTCACAGCATAATGTTTTAGTAATTGCATGTTATTGCACAGTAATCCAGTAGAAACCTGATATATTGAAATGAGATAGCTTATTACGATGTGCCACAATTCCAAGTGACACTTGCAGCCATAAAGCTAATGTGCATGGTTAACATGACAATGGAACTCTATCTTTGATTGTTGATTGACAACTTGCCTTTACATCCCAACTACTGTAAAACTTCAATTAATAGCTGAGTCCCAAATAGCCCGTTTACTGGCCTGGTGTTGGAACTCATTTTGACAAATAAATGCAGGTCTCAATTAACCGCCTGGTCTGGTTTTTATAGAAGTTCTTTGGATGTGTAAAACATCTTCAAACCCACGAGTCACCCACTGTAGCTGCTACTAAGCTGCTTTGATCGTTAATACAAAGATTAATGTTTAAACGAATGATCAATATGTCCGTATGGACTTGCTACACATCGTTAGAACGGTTAGATTCTCCACAATTCAGTCGTTCACTTCATTTAATGGAAACATCGAGCCCCGAAGTATAATTCTTATTTACCGGTGTAACCAGCATGGTACAAGAGATGAAGAAAAAAAAAAAGTGCAGACACCTGTTACCTTTAAAGTGCTCTTTCAGTCCGAATGTGTCTGTTTTGATCAACAGAATCAAAACAGTTTTTCATAAATAATAAAGTTGTGAATCCTGTCATGTGCATTCCATTGCTCTCTTCTCTCTGTTAGTTTTTAGTAGCCTAGCTGATTAGTTACAAACTAACTAATAGTTACTAGCCTCTAGTATTGACTTTATATCCTGACTTAGGAGAGAAATAAAGTCTGATTTATACTTCTGTGTCGAATCGACGGTGTAGCCCTGTACCCTACGCAGTAGCCTATGCCGTAGCCTGATATGCACCAACCTCAAAAATACACCGCCAACTGGCGTTTGGTGGTGTAATTACAGAATGGATACACCGATGCACAAGGATAAATGCATGGCTAGACCCGACGCAGGAGTACAAATCATGCTTTACACATAGCTGGTGCAACCCAGTGCTTGCTTTTTACAACCAGCATATCTCTTAGCTATAAGTTCATTATAATTATGATCAGTTCATTATAATCAAATGGTAAAAATATAGTAGCTGTGTAACAAAGTGAGCACCATCTCTATTTTAACTTTGTCAGACATTGAGTCTCTGTGGGGGAGATCATTAGGACATAGCTGTCAGTATGCCACTGGCCTGCCTGGAGTCATACTGCCACAGTCTGTACAGTCACACGGACTGTAACAGATCTGTGGCTGTAGTACATGGGTGCTCATTTTATGCTGTTTATGTCAGGGCCACACAAAAACAGACTGTAGTCATGAGTAATAAAAAAGAATTTTGGGAAAGGAACACCGTTTTGAAGATGTTATGTACTATACTTGAGAGCACTACTACTGCACTCAAAAGGGATGTACATGTGGAAGATTATAAATGTATGAACTTCAGAATTACACAGAAAATTCAGAATTACACTACATCTGCAGTAGTTTCATAAAAATCATATGGCTTTCTGTGCCATGTATGCATATTTTGTATATAAAGAAATGTATTTTTTTTAATCATGGGCTCTTGGACTGAAAAAATTCTGCTTTTTTAGCTTGCTAGCAGCATTGCTCTAGGGATTGTCATGGACCTTCCACCACTTTGGTACAGGCCTTCATGCTCCCCAAAGAAAGTATCCTATCCATGGCTTTGGTGACCTCCAGAATTTTCCTCCAGCGCCACCTTAGGGTTGACATTTGTGGTTCAAACTGAAATATCTCACGTATAATCATGTAATTTGTTCATGTATCCCTTAGGAAGGATTGCTTTGATGATGCCTTAACATTTAATCTAGTGCCATTATAGTGTTAAAATTTACATTTGTCCAATACCTTGGTTAGGACAAAATTATATACCCACAAATCTAATGACAATACCATCAGTCTTAGCTGTATTTTGTGTTACTGGTAATTGGCACATATTAGTATGTTATACGCTAAATTAAGATTGTGACCATGATAAACATTATACCTGATAAACTTCAGCATGTCAGTGTGAGCTTTAGGATGCTTAGGATACACAGTACAGCCTCACAGAACCTTAGAGTGGCTTTAGACTCGTAGTCTTGTGATTCTTAAGTATGGTTATTTGAAGTAAAAGGAACACACATTGATGATGCTAACAGTAATACATTATTCACGGTATATTAGCTGCATGTGCAACACCTTTGTTAATATACACTGTGGTGCGGTTCTAGAAAAAATTGTTTTAGTTGCAAATTTGAAATCAAGCACAGAATCTTCATTTATAAGGAATAGTCAAATTGAAGTACATAATTTATAGTAATGTATCTTTTCCCTTTGAAATGTGGAACAGCAACAGGGAGAAAACAAAGTGGACAGGTGAATATGTGCTAAACTATTCACAAGGATTAGAATCATATGTTGTTAATTTGAAATGTGTTCCCACTTTTCCATAAATAAACAGACTTGCTGAGTATGGAACAGAAAATGTGGTTTGTGTCTGTATGGAGCTGGTTTGGATAGCAGTAGAGATTAAAACAGTATTTTTGTTTCATGAGACATTCCTTTCTGGTGTAGGCTGAGCATAAAAGTGGCAGCCAAAAATGGCATTCCCTTTGTACGCCTATTCACACAAGGGTGTGAAGGTGTTAGTGTGATAAATTGTGATCCTGCCACCATGTATTGGAAGAAGCCGACTGTACACGGCCTGTTTTCACTGTGCTGTTGCAACAGAACAAAGTTTTAGGGTTGTAGAAGGTTTAACTGATTTTCATTTTAATGATTGTTTTGCTTTCCAGGAAGATGAAGTTGTGTGATATGCAAATTTCTGCCATTGGTTAAACATTTCAGAATAAAAACATCACTGGCGCTGACAGTAATTTTTTTATTTTTTTATTTTTTTGCGTAGTCCATGTGTACAGCAAAATTAAGTAAACAAACTTAACAGTAAGCTTTCAGAGTAGAACACACTCCCAGCAATTAATGAATCTACAAGATGTTTGTGTTTTTCTTACAGTTTCGTATGCAGATGAGACTGTTTGAGCCTTTGAACAGAGAGAAACAGGGCAGGGTTTGCTTTCTCAGACTTGTTACCGTATGTGCTTTAGCAAACACTTCTACATCTGAATTCTGTTTTTGGGAGGTTGAAAGAGTAACTCCACTCCATACTGTGAGGAGTTACAGTATGCATTCCGTGTCTTTTGTTGTTTTGGGTAGGGGGGGTTGTGAACCTGCACTGGGTGTAGTGATTTAATTTCCACTCTATTATGTCTATTTTTCCCTCTCAGTGAATGCCAGTGTGTGTTTTTCAAAATGGTAGAGCTGTTTAAAAAGACATGCAGCATTGTTAATAACCGCATTTTATTTTACAGCCTGTTTGTGCTTTAAGCATGCTTGTCTTTTTTAGTAGACTGTGAATCAGTGGGTTGCAGGTACAATGTGTGTATGTGGAAAAAATACACCTCTGTGTAATTTTGTGGGGATCCTTGCTGTACTGGCTTTGTGTGCTGCCTAGTAGAGCATGATTTAACGCAGCCTTTGTGAATGTAGGACAGAACACATT